TGCAGCGCCTGCAAAACAAGGTTCTCTGCACCACTGGCAATTTTCCGAGGCGCACACGGGTCCGCGATTTGCACGTGGCATTTAAAATCCCGTATATATATGACTATAACAAAATTATGCAGGAAACAAGCAGAAGTCATACAAAATCATGAAAATGAGAATGTTCGCAACATAGGACAAGGCGAAGCCCAACACAGAAAGTATAAGAGGCTTGGCAGCGGTGAGGCACACGACCGTTCAAGTGACTAGACTGCTGTGGTAGCGAATATGTTTTGCTCGTTATGTGAATTACTCGTTATGAGTGGTGCTCATTAAAGCGAGGTTCCACGGTATTGCCAACAAATGGGATGACCACAATTGCAGAAAACCTGTGCTACTGAGGTAAAATCACTTTTCCAGTTGTCCTCAGACATACATTCTGCCTGTTTCACTCTGTCTCTCAAATGTTAACAGGTTGCATTTTAAACATTGTTGAATAGTTTTCAGATAATGGAAATAGTTTATATTAATAACTGAAATTAATTTTCACTGGATGCATGACTGATGAGCCATTGAGTTGTTGGGGGTGACAGGAAAAGGCAGGTAACCGAAGCAGTAGAAAGGGATTTCAACTGGTTTAAAAATCATCATTAGATTTGCATCTATGGCCAATGAAGTTGTTAGTATAATTTTGTTTGGGATACTTGGCAGATATGCTGGATGTGACTTCTTTAAAAAATCATCCATCTTTAATTGTTTTTCGATCTCTCGTGCAAGAGCAGATGCACAGAGGTTACATGGCTTGGTCATCATTCCCCTTTTCCATTGCATTCCTCCATTGCCTCCCACACAGTACCCTACTCTAGCTTCTTCCACCTCTCTGTCAATCAGCAAACAGTTCACATTAAATTAGTTTGAATTAGTTGAGCACATTAAAAAAAGAAAAGTCACATTTCAAATTTGCATGTAAGAAGGAATATCTTTACTATCAAAATTGCTTGAATGATGTCCTCACTAGCTTGAAGAAGTGGTTTAAAGCCACTAAACTTGCACTACACTTTCAAAGAGTTTAATTTTGTCAACAAATCTTGTATTAATCTAAATAGTGATAAAACAATTGGAAGCATAGGCACAATGAAATTCTGTAATCTATAAATGAAATTATAAAATATATTGAATATACTGAATTAAGACCAACGTGCTTTGATATGGAAACAGTAACATCAGTCATGCAAATGGATATTTTAAAATTAATTTGCTTTGCTGATTTGCAACCTATTATGCCACATAGGAGAATATTTTGGGGAAATTCAGTTGACAGCAAATAAGTATTTAACATCCAAAAGAAAATCCATAGATTAATGGCAGATGCAAAAAACAATCTTACAGATATATTGTTATTTTACAAACCTATCAACATCCCAAGCATTGAATGGTAGGATGATTGGTGATTTATGGAATTTGACAGGTTTTGAAATGAACAGTTAGTGTCCTACTCACGATGCTATCTTGGAATTTTTCTACATGAAGTGAGAAAACCCATGAAGAATCTCAACTACCAACTGGGCCAAGATTCAACTAAACACATCCTAAATACAAATATACAGTGTTACAACCATACCAATCTGCCATATCTCTTGTAGAGAATCATATAAGAAGAGTTCTATCTTCTGAGGTGCAATGCCATGCAGTCCAGTGACAATAACCTGACATTTAGAGTAACACATCTTCTTCATCCTCAGGGCTGAAGAGCAAGTCAAGCAAGAAAACTATATGAAGCAGGCAGCATGCTGAGCTCTGCTTACTGCCTGTTGCAAACTTGGAAGGATGCCACACTATGTAGCATCATCACTCCTGCATGGAAGTTGTGGATATATAATGGCTTTAAAGAATGTGAGTTCAGTCTGGAGGAAGTGGGCACTGAATTTTATATTCTCCATTTAAAATATCAGTTATCAATGGTGAAATTGAGGTCATTAACAAAATAAAAGAAATGTTGGTTGTTCAGGGTCATAGGAAAGGGTACTCGCAAAGTTCCAACTGACCTCACCAGTCCAAAGCCATCAGAGCTTAAGTCATATCACGAACTTCTCATGGCTTTGGAACAGCGCTGTGAACCAAAATGGAATATTAATGTCCAGAGATGAGTGTTCAAGCTATGTAATGCACTATGTATGCTTCAGAGCTAAGACATCATGCCTCTTTTTGTGACTTATCTTGATTTAGCATTCAAGACTCTATTTATAAACTATATAATTTCTGACTCCAACTGGGAAAAGTCTGAGGGTCTTCCATAGACTACTGAAAGTTTAATCATAATACAAAAATAGATAAGCCAGCTTTAAAATATTACCTCTTACTTCACTCCTTCCACAGTGCTGGCCATTTCTTACAATGGTAGATTCTTTTAATTATCTGCATGTCATCATCTCTTTTGTTGATTAATGACGGGACTTCTAGAACACCTTAGTTACTGATTACAGCTTCCTGTGATGATCTCCAGATTTTTTAATTATCCATTGTTTACATTATCTGCTCAATTCTCCACTCCATTATCACAGCAACTGAGAAGTCATTATATTTCAGTCACTTTTCAACTTACTGAATAACCAGACCTTTTATCATCTGTTCCCTTTTGTCCTGAAATTGCTTAACTGACATAATAACCTATTCATTCTCATCCGTATAAACTTGCTACAGCATTATGTAGTCATGTGATCCAAACTTGTGGAAAATCATCAGTGATGTAAATTGCACACACAAATATGTCTGGAAATTTGTCAGTCCTTACAGGCTGCCCTGAGTAGGCTTCCAAAGTGTTTCTGGGCTCCAAATTAAATAGCGCAAAGTCAAGTTATCTCTTTGTGCCACTTTGTCCCCCAATTCTGAACATACAATGTTGGTTCTTGGCTATGTGACATCATTATCTCATGACTAAATGTATGGAGTGTTGAATGTGATCATGCCCCAGCATCATATTCCCAACAATCTGTAATGGTGACACTGTCTCTTACATTACTATCAATTATAATGTGCTATCTATAAAAGCTGTTCAGTTTTGATTATGCTTGTTATCAGAACCAAGGTCATTCATGCAATATCTAATCTTCCTCTCATTACTGGCTTCCTGATGACATAAAACTAGAAGTTCTCAGACCAATCAGATTCTCTCTCTCTCACCTCTCACCTTGTTTGGGCCATTGGGGCCTCTTCCACAGCCATGCCAATTCCTTAAACTTGCTTCACTCCTGAACTGAAAATGTCCCATTATCTATCTTCACAAACCCTATACAAATAAAATTTTTATCTTGTTGTAACAACCCACCTTCAGACAGCTGAAGCTACCAACTAATCACATCATTCAAAACGTTCCTTCAACAAATCATTTAATTCACCATGCCAAGAAATTCCTTACTGTCATGGAACCTGGATGTTCACACATATATAGTATGTATATTTGAATTCCTTCTTCTAGAAACGTCCAGAAAAATGTTATCCCCCATATCTGCTACTTGACCCACATATTGTGTAAAGGACAGTCAGCAAATAGGTCATAAATGGATATAAAATGTAAAATATGCGATATTCGAACATGAGAAAAAATTTTTCTCGATATATCCTCCACCAACATTGCCACACTTGAGCCTTGCATGTTTGATTACAGTCTATGAGTGGGTAAGAATGTAGCATTCAGAATTAAAACTGCCATTTTCAAAATATACTTCATAATGTTTATTTATTTCATTATAAAAAGATCAGTTGCATAATTATTCATTTCATGCATACAGTGACATTCTTGTTGTAAATGCTCTACATGTCTTAGGTCAGATTTTTACAAAGTACTAGATCTATATCCTCATAAGGTCTCTCTGTATTGCTAGAAATAAACTGTGTCAAAATAAAAATGCACTGATTTCTGGGATATGATGGTGTGTAGCCTGGTAGTTTACCAATATTCCTCAGAAATGCTGGCCCAAAAAAAAAAAGCCACTGTGAGAACCTCATATCTCACAGATATTAATCTAAATTTGCAGAATGATGAGAAAAGCTTTCCAAGAAAGCCAACAGGCAAGATATTTTAGCAACGTAATTAATTCAATAATAAGAGATGGTATATTAATAGCACATTACTTTCCCATCAGTCTGTTTTTAAATGAAGCATAATTTATCACAAATACTGAATGTTACTCTTTGAATATTCCGACTAGAATCCTTAAACATATAACACATGCTACAGATACATCACCTTGCATCAGCAGTTTACTCAACAAACTAAGCCAGCTTAAAATAACCTTAACTAACCATATTTATAACACCCACTAAGGAACTTATATGACTCTCCATATATGCCTCACAGCAAATTAATATGCAGCATACTGGTATTCCATACAGTGAAAGATACCTAATAAATTTTTCTTCTAAATAAATCAATCCCTTGCCAAAACTTTTTGTTTTTCAGGAACAGCAATGCAACCCTTATGACTGACAAGGGATTGCTGTATATAAAAAATCTGACCCCATTAATTACTTCATATTAAAATGGTTCACTGCTTTTACTACATGACCAAGAAATAAAATATGAACACAGCCTAAACATAGAACCCCTATTTATAAGAGAATATTAATAAATGCCTATTTTGGCATATCTCTGTTGTCTCATGCATAAATAATTGATCACAGAAATCAATAGCTGGCACTGTGCTATATAATACACAACATCAAATCATGTAATACAGTTTCAGCTGCACATATTAAAAAATAATACTTAAAATGTGTGCAGCCAATCTTGAACTTATTTAATGCCAACCCACTATTTCATGTACACAGTGACATTCTTGTCGCTAGTCCTCCTAAACCGATGCACATGAAAAATTTTAGTGCAAATTTTCTTTTTTTCGGGTCATCTGTTGGGAAGAGGCCGTCAAAAGCAGCTTTCATCGTTCTGTAGACAAAAGAAACAAACAAAAAATAAACATATTTCTACTGAACATAAAATCATTACATTTATTTAAGTTATTTTTAAATGTCAGTGTAAGCAGGATGCCAACCAAAGGATGGTATCACACACAAAAAAAACAGTTGAAATAATAATGCTATTTCATACTCAGTCACACCATTCATTAATACACCTCACCATATATTTCTTTAATAGCATACAGTGTATTCTATGTTCACCAATACTGTGTGTCTGTGCGGAATAAGCAACTTGGGGATCTCATTCTGTTTACTAACTTCACAATTCTGATGCTCATAGTTGACAGAAATTAAATGGTCTGTGGCTGGAAACTGAAGTTCAGTCAGCACACTCCTTCCAATTCATTCACTGAGCAATTCAGATATATTAATGCCTACTTTACTAACTGAAATGAGAATGCAGGATCAAAAATGCAACTTAGAACAGTGTTACATATTCATGTTGATCCCTGAAACTGCATTTCCAACAACCTTTTACACATCAGCCATGATCCATGCTGGAATTATCAGATAGTTATATACCTGCATAAACTTGATTTGAACAAGTATAACATTTATATTAAAAGTTACAGATCATATGAAATCTCCTATTGCACTTCTGGAAGCAGCACCGAGAGACTAACATCAGATAAGAGGTGACTGCAGCATATCTGCAGTGTACAAATCAGCAGTATTAATAATGGGGACACTTGGAAGTTGTACTAACAAATAAAAGTTCATAAGAGGGGCATCATCCACTTGTTCAGTGCTATGTCTGGAATATCACATAGATTCAAACAAGTGGATGACACCCCTTATGAGGTGGAATAGAATTTTACGAATGATTTTAGTAGGAAAGAAAAATAATGAATTTTAAGTAATTATTTATGTTATTTTAATTGGACTGCAATGAACAATTTTAGTGCGCATCAAAGCAATGTAACAGTTTTGATGCACTGAAACACCTGAGGATAGCCGTCTGGGGCCGAAACATGTTGTGTTAAGTGTTAAATGGTAGAACTCTGATAGTATTCCAACTTATTTGGATTGTTACTAGTTATCTGAGACTTTATGGAAGTCTGATACATGCAACACTTGTCCAGAGTGCATCAGAAATTGCATTACCTCATTAACTGTTTCTGATTCTAAAACATATTCTTTAATAGGAGTTTCTTTTTTCTATTCCATGGATAGGCCTATATAGAAACATGGTAGACCAATCAAGTTTCTTTTTTCTATCCCATGGATAGGACTATATAGAAACATGGTAGACCAATCAAAGTCTTGTTAGATATGTTACATTATAATTTCTCACACAGCACTTTATCTTCATGACTGACTGACCTAAAGTGAGTGCAAAGTGATACCAAAAGGGGTAGACATGAGTTGAAAGAATAACAACCCGAAAATCATTACTATCAACAGTACCTCTTATGGACAGGCAAAATAAAACAGCTGTTTCACACATAATTTTTAATCTAATAAGTTGATAAATTAAAAATTGAAGCATGAATAGAAGCCTTCTATAATGGAAAGGACATATACTCTCAAAACATATTTCCAAAACAATCACATCTGCTCTAACAGCAAACCTACAAGAAAAATACCCCAAAAGTAGGACGTTCCACTCAACATGACTATTTCTAAATGACTCAAATTAAGAGTGAGATGAATACAACATCATGCTTATTTATATCGTTACCATTTACAACTTTAACAGAACAGTCACATGTTTACTTACGAGTCCTTCAGTCTCATGGAAAGTTTTTGGAGCCCCATGGCCTCTGCCAATTCCTGAAGAAGATATTTTATAAATATGCGGCTGGCACTCGTGGTCTTCTCTTCAGTTAAGGTTATTATAGAGAAGACATCCCAACTGATTGTCTCGCTAAATAACAAATGGCTGAAAAATTTTGCGATATTCTGCAAATTCCTCGTCTTCAAGTGATGGGTTCTTTCGAATATTCGTCTGAAGATTTTTCCATATAAAGAGCTGTACTCTTTATTTATCCGGCAGAACCTCTGAAAGGAGACAGGAAGTTAAATATTGAGGCTATTATAAACATGCTTTGAAAATATTAAGAACACTATAAACTGTTACTGTTGCATTAATTTATCAGTAAGTAAAAGTAAAGGTATCCCTGTATCAGGCCATGAAGGCCAATAGGGTTGTGAGATGTCGAGGCTCCCACATTTTCTAGACAATCGGCTCTTAGATGGCGGCAAGGTTGTCAGCCTTACGCACCAGCCACCCTTTACCCCCAAGAATATTCCTGGTACTCATTATTTTTATTATATTTGAATGTGATGTACAGAGTAAGGATGAGAAATAAAAACAAATGACAGGCATAGCAGAAAAGAACTGGGTTCATCTTGGCGAGCCTCCACACATCTCAATCTGTATCTGTGCAACCTGCAGTCACATTTCAAGGTGTATCCACAAAAATGAAAGTAAGCTATTCATGCAGGTCTAAGCTATGAAATGGTAATTTTCAAATTGGTAGGGGAAGAGTATAGCAAGCAATAAACACAAAAACGCATACAGAATGTGTGGGTACATATTCTTATTCATATTCTTATTTTTAACCAAGCCTATATTAATAAAAGGCATCACTGTTGTTGAGATTTCATGTACAATGAAGTCACCATGTAATGATCCTCAGTTCCAGGTTCTCCTAATTTAATGCTGAATACCAATGAACCGAAGACAATAAGCTCAGCATTAAATCATCTGCATTCAATATTTTCCCCAGTTTAGTGTTTAAACCCACTGGCCACCAAACAACCTCTAACTGAAATTTCACTACATCTGCAGTTTATCACTAAACAAATATGACTCGTTTAAAAAATTCCAGTTTTCTCTTACTTAATTTCCTTTGCTACACTCATGTGAGACTTCGGGAGCCAGGATAGCACAGTCAGTATAGCGACTGGCTATAGCTTGGACAACTGAGGGGTCAGAGTTCGAGTCCTGGTAGGAGCAAGAATTTTCTCTTCTCCATGTTGTCCAGACTGGTTCCGGGGCCTACTCAACCTCCTATCCAATGGGTAGCAGGAGGCTCTTTCCTTGGGAGTAACCTGGCCAGAGTGTGAAGCTGACCACTCACCTCCAACTAGCGCCGAGGTCAAGAAAACGTGAATTGATATATCCACACCACCATACACCTTCATGGCTTAGTGCTTAATTTGTTAAGCACAGGGACAACTTTACCTTACCTTTATGTGAGATTTCAGAACCTGAGAGAGATGAATGTGAAAATTACTGTCTACCAGAAATGCAATGCTGTTTTGTTTGGAAAATAGCTACAAAGGGTTTGGAGGCACCTCATGCTGCCTTCATTTTCGGAATAGGCTCAAGATGGATGCAGAGCATTCCTGCAAAACACTGGTACCCGTCTAACCACGACACAGTGTCACAACCCAGCAGACTGTAATCTTCACACCTCATTTATGTCTATATGATGCTTAAACTAGTCATTACCTCAGCCAGGAGCCCAAAAAACTTTTCATACGTCCTTTGTTGTGCACAGCAGTCCAGAATCATGTGACATAGTTCTATCTCTTGTCCAGGCTTTAACTCCATCCTTCTTAACTTATGGGCACATTCTTCAAAATCCAAACTGGAATTAATTGTGAGGTAAATTGTTCTTCGCAGAGCCACAAGGTTAGTTTCAGTATTGTCAATAATGACATCATTATTGTTCTCTTCTGCAACAATGAACATAAAATATTAGTGGTTCAGCTAAGTCTTAAATGTTTCTGACACGGTGTGATGAAATATACATAATTATTAATCTGGACATTGTCCATTTTCTTTAGTCTTTTCAGAGACAGTGTTTTGGAAAATGGATCAGCTTGCCATCCATTGTAAAGAAATAAAGCTTCCCACTCAACTGCACAGGTTAGAAAGAGCCAGTCTCATCAGAGGTCTAAGATGATGAACAATGTCCATGTTTAAAACTAGTGGTAGTGCCTCATTAGCTGTTGTACACATTAAGCTAAGAGGAACTGTGAGCAGGCTGTCATGATAATATTCCAACATCTCTTCTCTAGGACTAAAAGAAAATATTAAATTCTAACAAACAGCTAGTCTTGGAAGTTAAGCTCTAAGACAATGGGAAGAATATACTACTATATGTATGAACAAAGACCACTTACTAGGTGTAAATTCTACCAGAAATGTATCCTGTTGACCTAAAATTGTGTACTATGAAAAGGACATAAATATGAAAAAGGGATCATGCTTCACTTGTGGAGCTGCATGACAGTATACAAACATGACACTTTTGCCAATTTAATAAATCATAAGAATTAATTTGTAGCTTACCATTTTCACTTCCTTCTTCTGAGTCATTTTCTTCTTCTAAACTTGAGTCACTTTCTGAAGTACTATCGCCTTCATCTAGAATCTCTTTTCTGAGAGCACTATATTTCTCCTCATTGGCTTCATATTCTGGGTCAAACTTGAATACATCTGAAATATTAAAATAGCAAACAGTTTTAATACACAGGTCATTTTAAATCTGTAAGAAATGGTTCCACTATGCCTAAAAGTCATCTTTGTATGTCATATACAGCAAAATCCTCAGCACTGAACTGAGGAACATCTTACATGGAAGTTTACCAAAACAGTATTTCTTACAGGATGATGAACACTTTCTTGGTACAATTTTGCATAACTGCAATTTAGTAAAAACCTCAATTTTATGTAAATGAGATTCCTTTAAAAAAAAAAAAAAGGGATTTCACTGTAATAATTTTATTCCGTTAAAAGGTAACATAGTGTTTTAGTTATTTTGCTTGAAAACACTGACAATTTATTAAATTTTATAAACAGAGTTCTATCAAAGTATAATTTTGTGACACAATCTCATGTGAATACTTTTCATAATGAAATGTGAATGTTGTAGCATCCTGTATAGCTATGGGACATTCTGTATAGCCACAGGAACCAAGACTCCTTCTTTTGTGAAATCCCTATACGTAACTTCTGCATTTCTGCATCACTGAGATCCTTACATGTAACCTTTATATTTTCTGTACCACTGTATTCGGTAGAGTATTGTAGTTCATTAGCACGGCATTGAGTAGATGTCTCTAAGGTTTCCGTTTTGGGTTGTCACATTATATTGATAACTTATGTATTCAGCAGTCTCACACAGAGCACCCCCGCATGATTGTATATCAGGGGGTGCAGTGACAGCTAAATACTCATTAAAGACCTGAGATACTTACTAAGAATGTCTTCTGAATTCTTGGCATCGTCTAATGTGACAAGATGTGTAAACTGATCCTCTTCTTCAACAAGGTTCCTTTAGAAGAGCTTCATGATCACGAAATTCATCCTTTCTCACTTGGAATATCACTTCAATCATGTATTGTACCTAAAAGAAACAAAATATGATTAAAGTGCAGTCAAAACAGCATATCACATACATAAAATGGGGATCCTGAGGCAAAGAGACATGCATGGTCAGTGCTGGCAACAAGTGGTGGTCCATGGCTTACTTCAGGGCCATGCCATGGATCAAGCAGTTACTTGTCAACTTCTCACTGCAGTGACATGGGTTCAATTCCTGGTCAGTTCATGAGGGATTTATGATGCACAAAGTGCCACGTAACAAAGTGTGCACTTTTGAACTTACCCTTTTATCAAGCTGTCCCTCGTGTAAAATGTTACGTAGCATCTCAAAGATGGCGAGAATTCCTTTATTTGACACTTCCATTAATTTCATGCCACATTCTTTCAGAAATGCTATTGCTACTTCCACAGAGTCATCTGTTGGAGTTTCCACAAGAAGAGTTAGGATCTCCAGAGCCAAAATTTCATGAGCCTGAAACATAAACATAGTTGTAATATAAATTTAATTTTAATTTTATTAATTCTGACTCTGACTGCTGATTCAAAAATTGTATGAAAGGATATCATTTAAAGCATCACTTCAGCATATAAACATCAGCAAGAAGTAGGAAAGTCCATGACCAGCAAGACACGTTCTGGGAACTGGTGGTGTGAACACAATAGTGAATCTTATGGTTCTATAAATGGCACAGAATTTGTTCACCAGGTTAGCAGTATCAGCTACTCAGAAGGAGCTCTAATTCAGGGGTTAGTTAATTGTCTTTCATTTACCCTCTTTTATGAAAGGGTGGTTATAATTTGACCTGGACTTTTCTTTTTACAAAAAGAAAATAAATGCCAATATTGCCAGACTCTCATGCCTTTTCAAGATATTCTCCCTTTATACAAAAACATTTTTTCCAATTTCCCTGCCAAATTAATGATGCCAGTAGCATAAAAGGTTTAATTCTTACTATGCAGCCAGGTTAGGACATTGCGTTCAAGTTTACCAGTTTGACATTTCTGTCCTAGGTGCATCTTCATTGGTCCAAACAAATGAAAATCACTGGTAATTAAATCAGGGCTGTAAAGAGGGTGGTTCATGATTTCCCAGCCCACCGATGCCAATGCTGCCTTCGCCAAATTTGCCAAATGTTGACAAGCATTGTCATGCAGTAGGATGATGATCTTTGGCAGTTTACCATACATTTATGAACATTTTTGCTTGCCTATAAGTGTAGAACATGATCTTTATATTCAATTAAGACTCACTGGGTGCAAGTCAAGTATGCACTGAGAACATTACTTAAAAGAAAGGACTCATATTTATTCATCATGAGTACAGCTTGCATCAGACTGAATACTTGAGCACTCTGTATATAAATTATTCTCCCCAATATTTGTAAAAATAAACAGCTGCCTTTTTGGTGGACTATTTTACAACCATGTCAGTATCTAGACTGTATGGCGCTGAACGGCAGGATGACTGGCAAATGATGAATTAGAACAGATGTGGAAGAAGGCAGTCATGACCTAACTGAGAAAGTATCTCTCAAATACAAGCCGACAGTGTTGTCACCTGACCAACATATTTGGTAATTCTATTTATTTCAAGTTTTATTTCCTTCTAGGTGCCACAAAGAATGCTGAAACTGAAGCCTAATTCAAATACATTTTCATAAACAGCATGCCTAAAATATGGGACTATGGTTCAATTTGCCTCTAGTTAATTGGATATTACAGTCTGGTTGGAGTGCTCTGGCACATCCTTGAATGAATTATAGTGAGGTCCAAGACATAAAATTTTCTCTGATTTGTAATGGATCTTGCTAATTTTTTTCATTTATTTATGAAAATCTGTGCATGTACTGGCCATTGAGTTGAATTTCTGATTAGAACCTGCTGATGGCTGTAAAGTGACTTACAAACTAGAAAAATGTAAGGTAAAATTATGAAAAATTGAAACATTTTGTTCTTTAAAGTGAAAACTGTGTTCTAGTTATTCATAAAAACCAAGAAAAGAAACATTAAAACTTACAAATGATGTAAATAATGAAATTTAATGAAGTAGTGTTAAAAGGTTTTTTCTCCTGACAAAGAAAAAAGAAGAGGTTGATCTCCAACTTTCCAGATAACGATTATATCATACTGAATGGCTGGTCAGAACTGCTTAAATCACAATTATAATGCAGGTTATTTAATATTATTAACATATGCTATTCAGAGAAAACTTTCTAACTCTACTTACCACTCGCTGGTTTACAAGGTGAGCAATAAATGTTGCAGCAGAAATGCAAATCGTCTTATCATTGTGCTTGAAACCACGTCTGAACTGGATGACAAGCCGTCTCAGCAGCAATTCTCCAATATTTGGGAACTGTGGGAACAAAACAATTTAATTAAAATTACTACACTAATTTAGCACACAAAGTCTGAGTGTATACTGTGCCATATATATGCCTTCACAGCCTTCAAATGACAGTACAGAACATTAACACATCCTGCTCAAAATAAACTTTTGATTAAAACACTTCTGATTTGGCAGTATAAAATGCTTAACTAAGAACGCAAAATGTTTAAGAAAATCTGGCATGATACCACCTGTGGATCAGGACTCATTTGCAATCTGAAGCCAGTAACATTTGCAAGCTATTCTTTCATAAACTGAATATTTCCTTACAAGAAATAGTTGCATTAAACATCAGCCAATTTTATGCAAGTGATAATGATCATACACAAGATATAATCCTCTGGGCAAGGGCACTTAGCTTCCTGCATGTCTAATAGGCAAAGAAAATTAAAATTATTGCAAGTGGTATCAATATAACATGCATAATATAGCAGTCTACATGCCAGTTGATTCTGATATCAGGATGGCAGTGATTACAGTATGCATTTCAAACACACCGCCAACAGCAGCATAGCAAGAAACCACACCATACAAGACTTGAGAAAATGGTCTATTATAAGCAGTATGTTCACTTTTGCATGATGCTGCTTTTCTAAATTTCATAATGCCTCTATAATATGGGTAATAAAGGTAAATTCGAACCTAAATATGGAACACTTCCAAATACAGTTCACACTGAACAAACTGTTCTAAAAGTCTTACCTTGGAGTTGATAACTGCTACCAACGCTGCATAAACATGGGTGAACGTCATTGATGCTGCTTGCGCCTGGATTATTGAACGACAAAGTAGCCCTCGCCCCCTGACAATATTTTCTTTCAGCAACTCTCGCACGATAATAGCAATATTTCCAGTGTTCACCTTATTGATGTGCCCATGTATAGATTTTTTCAGTGCTTCCCATTCTATCCTCTGATATGAGGCACCAGATTTGTCCATAATTTGGGCTTGCATCATTCTTAACTTGGCAGGAGGTATATATGCGCCTCCTGTCCTAGATGTCAATAAATTGACAGTTCTATTTTGCTGAGTGGAAGAATTATTTGTAAATGTGTCTTCCTGCAAGTCATGTTTAGTATTTATGTTACTATTTTGTGTAGAATCATTCGTTTCCCTTCCTCTGGAATTGTTTTCATTGTCATCAATTCTTGAGCTTGTCCCCTCTGTTGCTGGATATTTCCTCCAGTTGTGAATACTACTTCCCTTTTCACGGTGATATCCTGTGTCATTCTTATCCCAATACCTATAATATTTATCAAACCTCTCATTCTGATACTTTGAATCCCTTTCACGATTAATTCTATTTCCCCTTCTCTTGGAATAAGTAGGGTCATTTTCATGTTTATGATATGACATTCTTAAGCCTATTTCCTCACCCTCTTCACTTTTCTTTCGCTTGTTTTCCTTTCCGCTTCTGTCTTCGTCTAATAGCGAATCCCTCTTGGGCCTTCGCTTCCTGATCCCACGATGATCTTCTCCATCATCGTGCTTCTTTCTATCACTATATCCTTCTTCCTTCATCCCTGCTACATATCTGTTAATTCCAGTATCAGATGAAGAGAAATGTGGTCTGGACCGCATATCGGACTGTAGAGATTCTAAATTAATTACCTGCCTCGATTTCGTTTTACTGTCCATTTTGAAATGATGTGAAATCTAACTACACACACTGTTATTAACACTTTGCTTGAGATGTGAAAAACTCCACAACTTCACTAAGCGCCCTATCACACAGGCCACACTCAAATCCACTTTCCGACCCACACGTTTAACTGCAGCTGGCAAGCACCATTCCAACCCGGACCAACACTAGACGAGGTCACGTATCTGTCTTGTTTGGTTTTCTACACTTGCACTGATATGTTGGGATTTTGGAAATTTTTGGAAATTGTCTCTCGCCCATCATTAGTAACATCTTCATGGAGCATTTTGAAAAACTAGCTCTTGACTCGGCTCCATACAAACCATCGTTGTGGCTGCGATACATGGATGACACTTTTGTAGTCTGGCCTCATGGTCCAGAGAGATTACAGACTTTCTTGGACCACCTCAACAGTATAAGGCCTTCCATCTGTTTCACCATGGAAACTGAGTCTAACAATGCGATCTCATTTCTGGACGTTTTAGTCATCAGGGAAAAGATGGCACTAGTCACACAGGTCTACAGGAAACCCACCCACACTGGCCAATACCTCAACTTCAATTCTAACCATCCGCCGCATGTGAAAAGAGGCTTGATAAAATGTCTTCACGACAGAGCTTCTACCATATGCCAAGATCGACGAGACTTGGTCAGAGAAATTAACAACGTGAGACACGATCTTCAGTTGAACGGTTATCCCAAAGGTTTTATTGACTCTGTCATTAATTCCAAGGGCAGTAGTCGTCCGAAGAAAGAGGAAAGCCCTCTGTGTTCTGTTTATATTCCATATGTGAAGGGTGTGTCTGAAAAGTTTAAACGGATAGGTAATCGATATAATATTAGGACCATCTTCCGTACGAAACACACACTTAGGAACTCCCTTATGAAAACTAGACCGAAAAGA